CCTTGATCGTCTTAATACGTCTGGTGCTCGTTCTTCGAGTCACCACGACCTTTGACCTGGAAGAAGGTGCCGTTGCTGTATTAGCTAACGCACTCCTTCCAACCGCACCAGGCTCATGGCTCTGTGCCGGTTCTTGTGACGCTTGACTTCCTGTCAGCCCACCATCAACTGCCACAGTCTCTCGGCTCTGTGCAGGACTATTGGACGCATGACTATCTGTCATCGCCCCATTCACTACACCAGTCTTTTCGACCTGGGTAGGAATATGTGTCACCTGGCTTTCCGCCAGTGCACTTCCAACTACACCACTCCTTTCGAGCTGGGTAGTTCCTGGTGTCGATTGACATACCGTCATCGCACCCTCGATTGTGTTGGACACAGCATCAGCCACATAAGCCTCTCGCGAGAGCACATCCTTTCCGGTGTCTTGCGTAGAGCTAGCGACTGTGCGTGTACGCCAGTCTATCCATGGTTGGTGTTTAGCCAACCAAGGCATGCCTAGGATGAGGTCATACGGACTCTCCATACCTAGCACTGTGAACTTCTCCTTACAAGAGAAGTCACTGAAATTGAAGGCGAGTTCAGCTTGAACTCCCTCCGATTTAACGAGCGCGCCGTTCGCTAAACGAACGATCGCCTCTTCTTGCTTGCCACCCTGGCCAAGCGACTCATAACTTGCCGGAATCCTTTTCAGAGCCGCAAGTTTCAGAAAATTCTGTAATGCACCAGAATCCACGAGAAGGTCATCACTTGGTCATAGCCTCGTACTCGAGCGCTATAGACCAAAAGGGTTGAGGTCCGACCTTTAGGAACCTCAGGGACTATGCTACCCATTTGTTCGATCACTCTGAGCTTAGGGGTAGCTACAGAGTTCGCGACAGTAGAGCATCCCGCAGAGTCTGCGACAGTAGGGCATCCCGCCTCTACTGTTCTCCCGCAATTCCCTACCCATATTGGGCACGTGCTGAACCCGTGCGTCGCGCACGCTGGTTCTTCGCACCTCCCTTCGGGATGGGAGACCTTTTGCTGGCTGCCTTAGCACCATCAGCAAGTTTGGCATAGCAGAGAGCCATCATATGGCCGCACTAAACGCACCACGTATGCATTGCTTAACTCCATTGGAGTGGCATCCGAACTCTCGGCCGACGGCTTATAATAAGCTGTCGCCGAGGCACTGTTGTAAGATTGCTCCTCACCCATGGCAATTTTAATTTCCTCCTCCATCGTCTCTGGCACCTTTCTAAAAAAAGGCCTGAAGCGATGGGCCGTGCCGTAGTCCATTCATGAACGTTGGCCCCTTCATGTGTTCCGATATCGGACCCACAAAAATGGACGCATACAGCGAACGCATCTCCTGCACATACTTTTGCAGAGATCGTTTCGCCTGTCGTGATCCAAAGAAGCGCGCCTAAACAACACTTCATCTTTAGGCGTCTGGTACATGGCGCGAATCTTTGATCCAAAGATCGCCCATGATATTACCGCATCGACATCGGCATTTGCCATAATCGCAGAGTAAGTTCATTCTGACGCTTTTCCACGCAAATTTTACATGGCATACGAAACCATCCTAGTGTCGTCTTCGATGAGCTGCGCCATAACGCATTGCTCCACGGCCATAAGCCAGTGGACAATCGTATGTTAGGCAGTCCCATCAAACTTCGGAGGGTCCATCCGAATGGGCCTCAATTTAGCAGACCGAACAGATAGCGTCTTAATAGTTCTTTTGAGCGCCTCCGGTCCGAGCTTGCTCACACAAAAGCTCATCCTGAGTCTTACTGATAGAATTAGCCGTTGCTTGTTGTTTGCCACGGAAGCATTCTGCGCTGTACGAGCACAAACGCCTCGAATTGCTCCAACTGAGCAACATGTTGCTCAGGAGGAAAGTTCGAGAGGTTGGCCAGGGCTTGTTCACCAAGCCCTGCACCAAGTGCTCTGTCAACTCTCTATGATGTAAGAAGAGGTGAGGAAAATCTCTCTAATCTACATTGAGGGACATCCACACGCACGCTCAGAGAGACGGCCGTGGAAAGGACGGGCAGAACTTGGTCCCAGCCGTCGTCAGCGTCGTCGTCAGCGTCGTCGTCAGCGTCGTCGTCATAATAGTCCTTCCAAGTTTAGACGGGCACCCCGTAAAGAAGCTGCCACGTACTACGCGGAAATACCTTCAAGCAGCGCGAGGAAGAGTTTATACCGTCTCACCTACGCGTGCAGTGGTGGTGGTGTTGGCCGGTGCTAAAAGCGCTGTATTAATTGTTGCCGGTCACTTTGAAGCTAATTGCGCAACGAACTGCTAAGACAAGAGCTACACTTACGACACGCAGAAGCTTATACAGCTTCTCGTGCGCGGTGTGCGATGTTTATAGATTCAAGACTGAATTATATATTTAATAAAATTTTAACTAAATATAAATCTTACCAATGAATGGCTAATATGTAATGATGGGTGCCATCTCTATAGATGCGCATCCCAACGTTACGAGCTTAAGATATATATTTAAGCTCGCTGGTGACGTCCATATGTGACATCACCATGACGCCTAGTTTCAACTGGCGTCATCCCCGTTGAATGTGAGTGTCATCCATGGATATCACATTCACGAGGGTGGGTCACATTGATGTGCCACACCCAAGTGGCAGGCCTAAGGTACCTCGTACCCATTTAGGCCTGCCCATTAAGTGTTCGATACTTAACGAACCGTGTAACTTCTAAAATAAATCTTAGGTCTACGGTCGTGCTGATTGGTATGCTGGTCTTTGGGCTATTATGTATTGCTGGGGATTTTTCGGCGTACAAAACCACAGAGTGGCGGTGCATCGTTGTGTGAATCAACAACCCCGACCGCGATCCCCCAACAATTCTGGCTGTTTCAACGACAGCCAATAAAGGCTACCAATATCAAAGACTTCCATAAAGACAAGGGTAAGGACTCGCACGTCAAGGTCAGCTTTGTCAACAATATCCTTGCAAGTAATATATCCTTTGAGAAGTTCCAAAGTTTCATGATGTGGAGTCAGTCAAGTGATAAGGCTAAGGCTGCTCTGAACAACGAAGAAAACTTTTACAAAATACGGGCTTCATTCAACGACCGCCAATTCAAATAAAACCTCGAAATGGCTTTGCCGAAGAAAGAGCGGGAACGAATCCGTAGTAATTGAAATGTTACCGCTATGTCGATGATCTACTGACCGCGCTTTCTGCCCTGAGTGTTCAGATATTGCCACGCACTGTGTCTACAAGTTTCAGATTCACAATATGTTTTGTTTTTTCTTGAAGCAAAAATACGTTTTCTTAAATAGTTTTCGTTTTCAACGTGTGCGCAACTCTTGTCTTCGCTCGGACTTCCTTTCGTTGGTAAAGAGAAAATAGCGGACGGGTAATCAGCTCACCAATTAATGACTTGTTGTACGTTGGAAACACCTCCAAGCACGGAGACAAGATGAACAGTTATATCTTCTCTTTCTGCATGTGCGTCTTTAGCCTCTAACAATGCTCTGTACGTCACTCTAAAAGTTTCCTTTTTGCCCGCAATGCGCTCGTGCTCTGCTATCGTGTCGGTTTTCACGAAGTAGCGGGTAAATAGAATTGGAATCAGGGACGCAAATCGACGACGCTTTAGTGGTGCCACGCAATCGTCTCTTGGGCTGTTGAGTCTTTTTAGCATGATGCATCGATGTAATGAAAGTCACTTGACGCGTTCGATAGTCGAGGTCAGTTGGCGTGATACCAATTTGTCCATACACCGCCGTACGACTAGTAATCTGCACCAATGGAGATACATTACTATTGGTGTAATGTGCAGTGCTTGTCTTGAGGCTCACGATTGCCTATGCCATCCCTTGGTGGGAATCTGTTCCATTGTGTTCCATTACAGTGACTTTCGTGAATATCACAACTGTCTTTTACAAATGACAACCCCAGATTTGGGCTGATTTGTAAAAGACAAGAGTGTGACAGTAAAAGTGCGTGGTCGTTGATGCAGACGTTATTTAATTTTGCTGCCGCCGAATACTTTGTATATGTACTTCGTCATGCAAATTGTGTAAATTGTTAGAAAAGCATTAACACCTATTTTCTCTGCGTTGTCGGCCACACTGACTGCCACGGAGTCGAGTTTCAACATTCGTTTCATTTTTCTACGTAGGGAGTTCGCATCATCGTTGCCGCTCCCACTGCCTTGCTAATAAACAGGTCCCTTATGAGCATAAAAGACCAGAAGAAACGGGTCGTGTCGGTTTTAGTTTGGAATGGAGACACTGTTTACTAGACTCGGAGGCGATGACTACAGCGTGATACGCTATTCGAAACCAACCACGTCCATCTGGACGTTGAACCATTTCCATTTCACATCTGCTCGAATGCATGCTAGCAGAAAGGCTCTGTTGAGATAATGGTGCACCATCGAAGCCGACAAAAAGTATTGGGCTTCATTTCAGAAGAGACCACCTTCACCGCGTGACTCTCATCGTTTGTTTTGACGGACAACACAGTAGCTTCTCTCCTGACGGACATCACGCCACTGTCATATACGGGAAAGCCAAGGCGGACATATCGGTGCCGGCCACTCACGACCAAGGTACAACATCGAAGCTCATGGAACCACCGTAGGTGTTGGCATGTGTTCCAGTCGTCATAGTAGGGCACACGTCAATTGTTAAAAACCAATCGTTTTTTCATTAAAATACTCGGTTGGTTAATAGTCGAGGACGTTACGATTTCAGTTGGCATTGACATGACCACGACAGCAGCGTATAATTGATGGCTGGCAAGTATGGCGATGCGGTTGCAGGGAGGTACGGTAACCGACTTTGGATCTACGATTTGGCTTACGTTTCTGCTGATTTTCCGGCTCCTTGTACGCTCTCGGATAATCTCTAGCCTTCACGGTTATGTTTTTGTGTCTTTAATGGTAGTAGGACCGAGGCAAAGAATTCTCAGCATTCAAATTACACACACACGAAACAAAACCTCTGTAATTGCCATTTGACTTGTATCAAATTTAGTGGTACGCCATCTTAGCGTTTGGACCCGTGTTGGGGCCTGCACTGCCAAATGTACTTCCACTGATGCTATCGAGCAGGAAAGCCCCACTTGTGTTGCTTGAGCGGAGGTTTCCTGTAGAGGTCGACGTTGCGCTGCTAGCCGACCCATATACACGTTGTGTTGCCTAAATGAAGACACAGCCACATTTCAGTTGAATTAATCACAAACCTTTTATGACCCAGTTCTTTTACCTGATACTGATACCCTGAAAGCATTGGAATGGCATCTTCCTGGCACGAGTGACCCGAGGTAATACCACGTATAGGCGCATAGACATAGTTCGGCGTCGGAGGCTTATCACGTGAGTTGTTCGCACCGTAGCTACCGCCAGATAAAGAAGCGGATGCCGAGGTCGTGGATGACGAGCGAATACGTTGGCGATAAGATGACAAATTTTTGTCCTGACGCGTGAAAAAAAGCAGTAGCGCGCTGGGAATGAACTCTGTCAAGAAATGAATGATAAACTCGTACGCGATGTGGTGGCCACCCACAGGTGTGCGGTACTGTGACTCCTCTGATATCATATAGCCAGTGCCCATCCCGATCAAATATACCGCCTTCACAGCGAACAAAACGCAGAACAGGATGCAAACAGCCGTGATCTGGCCATGTCCGACGTTAACATATATCATAGGTCTATAGTCAGCTTACACGTTTCGCAAGATGCCAAAAAACAAGTGGCGGCGCTTACCCTACGTAGTACAAGTCGCCGAGGTGAAATAGTCGCCACGAGCCCTCCCTGGCGCCCAGTAGGTCCGTTGCCACTGCCCATTGCTGCTGACGACAAGTCAAAGAAGAAATCTTCATCGGGACTTTGGTTACGAAAAAAATCAATCAGCCGGATGCTGTAATACAAGATCATAAATAATCCCACAAAGTAGACGCCTCCTTGTAACAAGTCGCAGCCTCTCCAAAGCCCGGCTGGTGTGCTCGCCAACGCAAACAGCATCATAAAGCCAGCATAGAGAAGCAAATTAAAGAGAAAAAATACCCTTCTTGGCCACGGATGGGCCTTTCCCCAACAAGCGTAGCACAGCTGTGCCCAGAAGAGTACCACAAGTCCGTTCATGGACACAAACAACATGGATGGCAACCACAGGAACAGCGCCAACAGTCTGCAATACACTGACGTTGACGGAAGGTCCGTCACAGTCTGAAGCGTCGCCACTTCGGTAACCAGAGAGCAGACACGTAGCATCGATGCCACGAACAGCAGCAGGAATAGTCTCTGTCTCATCTCGGAACCTGTAGAAGCTGCTGCCGCCCCCTCATCCTCCATCAGAGCGGCCTCAGAGCCGCCCAGGGCATTAGCAGAAGCTACAGGAGCTTGAGGAACATCAGAATAGGGTACTTTGCCTGCTGAAATGACCCCAAAAGTCTCAATGTGGGAGCCCGGATCAGCACAAGAGGAACGTTTACGGTTGGCCGCGTACTGATGATACAGGACACGTCCGGACACCGCACTCAGTAACAGGAACAATATAATCGTCAAGATTAGTAACAAGTGATCAGCAAGACTAAGAGCCTTAGAATCTTTGCCTAATGCGACATTGAAGGCCAACATGTCTGCACCGGAAGTGTCTACGAGGGAATCAAAATAGTGAAAAGAAATGAGTAAGGTTTGGAATAGTAAAGGTAGATTTATAAAAAAAAGAGAGAAAGGAAGAAATTTATGGTACGAAGAATAAGTCAAGTACATGAACAAGGAAGATATGAATGCTCTGAGGCGTTGCATGCTTACCTCGCATATAAGGAACGCTGCTTATTATATTTAGTCAAACGTACTGAGCTCATGGTCCAGAACATGTGGACCACATGAATTTTATCCGCAACCTACGAGCAACATGTTCCGCCGTCATCTCTCCATGAGGTCCTCCGCCTCCATCACATGGCACGTTGATTCGGAAGTTCGACGATCCAGTGTCAAGGCCTTTAATACTTTCCTCTACTCTATTCGCTTATCTTTGACGCACCCACTTTTACCCGCCATCGTCCACGTTCTCATGGGCAATGAAGCCGCCGACGCTGACTCCATTGTGAGTTCCTTGACTTATGCCTTTATACACGCCCAAGAGCACCCGGATACGCTTCATGTGCCTGTTGTACCCATCACTCGATCCGAATTAGCGCTACGATGTGACGTCACCGCCTTGTTCGAGGTACTGGACGTTCATACTGATGCTCTTGTGTTCGTCGACGAGTTTCCGTGGGATACAAAGGCCAGAGTGAAAGTCACTCTAATGGATCATAATGCATTGAACAATAAGAAAATTCCAATGGTGGAAAGGATGAAGGTCATCGAGATACTGGACCATCACTCTGATCTGGGCCAACATTTGGACGCTGAGAAGAGAGAAGTGGCCTTTGCTGACGGTAATGCTCTTGTTGCTAGTACGTGTACGTTAGTGGCCGAGAGGTTGGAAAAAGTAGCACATCATACTGCACATAAGCTACTATCGACAATGTTGCTTGGAGTGATTGCACTAGATAGTATTAACTTTGATCCAAGTGCCAAGAAAGTGACGCCAAGAGATGTACACGCAGCCCAGCAATTGGAAAAGGTGGCGTTTGCAAAGAAAGAGGAGCTGTTTAAGTGGCTTGAAGCGCAAAAGTTTAATTCTGCGCACTGGAAAGCGTTCACCTTGGAAAATTGTCTGCAGGTCGACTACAAGGAGTTTACGTTTGCAAAGAAGGTGGGCATTAGTGTGGTGTTAATTGATCTGGAAACTTTTGTGCTTAAATCAAAAGATGCAGCTGCACTACGCAAGAGACTGTGTGCATACTGCAAGCAAAATGGTCTGGCGTTCGTGGTGGTGATGACTATGTTCATGACGCCTGACGGACAGCGCCATCGCCAGATGCTCTTTTTCCAGGAGAACGGAGACAATGCCGAGCACTGCGTGGCATTTTTGAAGAGAGAAGGGATTTTGCTGTTGGACTCGATAGAGTTACCGGAGACTCATCGGCATGAGTACGTGGCTGCTTTTAATCAACTGAACATAGGTGCGTCCAGAAAGCAGATCGTACCGCTGATTCAGCGTGCGCTTGCCGAGCCTGTCGTGAAGCTGTAGACAATACAATCACAGCCTGTAATTTGGGTTAATTATTTACATGCCCTCACAATTACTATGTTATTATAAGGCCAATAGTCTGCTTTTAAATCAAAGACCACTTCACGTGCCACTTCGATGTTAATTCTACTCGCGCACTACGGTATGCATCACAGCATCAATAAGATCATATCTGAACACGACCAAACTGTATAACTCCCGCCCCGAAGGAGTCTTGGCTGTTATAGTAACTGAACATGCCGTTGTCAGTGGTTACAGCTCATCAGGGAAATTTATGACAAAATTATTGTCATTTTCGTGTTACTAAAAGTGTAACAGGGCATCTAGTTACACGCAAACATTACTTAATATACTTAATGTTTGGTCTTAAAGTATCCATGATTACTTTTGACCTGCCACTTGGGTGCGATACACAAATGTGATCCACCCTCGTGAATGTGATATCCATTTATGGACTCACATGGGAAGGGATGACGCTAGTTAAAGATAGGCATAGCGACGTCTCAGAAGGACGTCAATTGCGATCTTAAATCTAGATTTAAGTTCATGCAACAGGATACGCTTCTAAAGAGTCGCGTATCCGTTCTATATATATATATAGCCAATCAGTAGATAAGTTTATATTTAGTTATAATTTATTAAATATAGCTCAGTCTTGAATTTGCTTAAATCGAACAGCACCACGCACGAGAAGCCGAAAAGCTTCCTAGTGACGTCGGTCCCTTCTAAGTGCTTAAAAATTCGTTGCACTCTCGCTTAAGCGAGAGAAAACTGGTGTTACAACTGCTTAAGCAGTCGACCAACCTCCTAACCACCCTCGCACGCAAAGGTAAGACGGTCTAACCGCTTCCTCGCTTGTGCATGAAGGTGTGTGCTAGTAGCACGAGGCAACTTCGTAGAAGTGCCCGTTTACACTTGGTAGCACTAGTAGTCCTTCCCACGACCCGTCTCTCGGAGCGTGCGTGTGGTTGATATGGTCCTTAATATGGACTGGAGTGACTCCCCT